CAGGCGGGCTTACTGATCACGTAATCACTGATATTGGCAGTCAGAGCGGTCACATGACCAGAATCTGTTGGTGACAGCTCAGTCACTGTGCTGTGAGTGCTGAGTGAGTGTGCTCTATGCGTGCGAAAAGAAAGATCTACTTTAAAATACTGCAGATAGAAGCCTGGGATTGTCAGGGAACAAAGAAAACAGACAGAAACTTAAACTTGGACGTTGTCGGTGCCAAGCCAGAGATCAGATGCCAAAGCGGGTAGTCAGCCACACCAGGTCAGGGAACATTGAGAGCAGGATGAACAGAAACAATAGCCCGAGTCAGGAACCAGGAGATTAGTCAGCCAGGGCCTTACACAGAGAACAGGAACAACAGAAAAGCACTTGGTATATCTGAACACACGTAAGGGCAGATACTAAATGAACAAGTTGATCGCTAAATAGTGAGCTGGTGTTTGCAGTGCCAAAGGGGAACAAAAAGTGTCAGACACACTGCAACAGAAGACAGGCTGAAGCTTAACTGGACAAGGAAGGGTAAGAAACCCTGGCAGGGATTTAGAGAAGTAGAGTTTCATGGATGGGAGGGATCACCAATTGGCTAAGAAGTTTTTTTTAATCTTAATTCAGTCTATAGTTAATTATCATAGTGATGATATTAGTAGTCCATTTTCTATATAGGCTTTGTATGTGTTTATGTGTTATAAGACGTATTGGATATTTACAGGAAGTAAAACAAAGAGATACGTCATATATAATGTAATATTCTTATAGCTTTTTCTGGAAGCCACTTTAGCCTACAGAAAAGCAATATCTATATCCTAAAGCAGCCAACTTAAAACTGCATTATAAAAACAAGTTAAGTCTGATGAGGTATATGGCATTTTAAGCCCTCATTCACACTAGAAACGGCCAGCACGTACAGCTCCATGCTGCGTGCACGGCCGTATCGCGCAGCTCCCGGGAAGGACAGGTACTGCGTGTGATTAGTACGCAGCCCCTGTCCTTCTCTATGGGACTAGGTGCCGTACGCCGCTCTACGTTCACCCGCCCTGCACGTCCGTTCGGGTAAGCGTACTCGTACGCTGACAGGATGGATCCTGTCTGCGTCCGAGCCAGGAAACACGCACCCGCACGGACCTGCACTTGAGGTGAGCGTAGCGGGGCATATGGCCGCGTACTCCCATAGAGAAGGACGGGGGCTGCGTACTAATCACACGCAGCACCTGTCCTTCCCGGGAGCTGCCCGATACGGCCGTGCACGCAGCACGGAGCTGTACGTGCCGGCCGTTTCTAGTGTGAATGAGGGCTAAGAAATGCTGTACTATCTTTAACATTAACACTTTAGTAACACCAGCAACTATAGGTCTTGCTATAATTCTAGCACTGAGATAGGGGAGCTGAGGCTCTCATACACTGTCATTTGTCCATCCCTCCTCTCCCCTAGCTCATTCACATGATGCTTTGTAGTCTGTGAATCATTCATAGAATGAAAAGCATTGTGTGAATCGTTAGTGTGACATTGATCAAATTGGTTGCCCACATAATTAACAGATTTCTGATCAGCCCATCACTGGGCTTAACAGCCATTGGACAGTTGCTGAACAATAAGTGTTTAAACCCGGGTTATATCTCTGACAAAGCCTTACTTGAATTTAAAGAAACTTGAAAAAAGGCAACACCTACCTACCTTTTCCCTTTACAGAATATACTTTAATGGTATACAGGTATGTCCTCATGAACCCTTTAAAAAGTCCCTGTCACCTTGCCTTTCCAGGAAAAGGGGCATTGGTCTATTTAAACTCACCCTCTTCTCGAGACCCAGTTATATTAATTTTCACAGTGCTTAGCCCAACTGGACAATTTATTAGGCCTGAACACAGAGGTCATGATTGCTCCCTGTAAGCGCCACTCAGTATTTGCAATGGCTGGAACAAAGGAAGCATCTGCAGGGGGGAGCGCTGTGAAGCAGCTGAGGGTAGGCTTTAAAGAGACCCTATCCCTTTGGCCAGAATTAGCAAGGTGACAGGGTCTCTTTAATGACTGTGGAGAATTGATCTATGTCCCAATTGGCAGGGCAATCTCACACAAGAGTGTAAATACCCACTATTTTTTAGCAGTTCCAAATGGGGGTGCATTCACCAATGGGCTGTTTCAGTGTAAATTTGAAGTTGGCGAACCATGAAGGTATCCTTATTCTCACTTCCTCCAAACTCTGTGATTATGAGGACTGCCCGCTCAAGACACACATATCTATATACATTATATTGTCAAAAGTATTGGGACACCCTCCAAATCATTGGATTCAGGTGTTCCATGAAATGTCCTTGATACTAAATATTTCACGGTCACCTGTTAGTGGTATTATAACAAAGTGGAAGCAACTGGGAACAACAGCAACTCAGCCATGGAGTGGTAGGCCACATAAAATGACAGAGTGGGGTAAGCGCATGCTGAAGCACACAGTGGGCAGAAGTCGCCAACTGTCTGCAGAGTCAATAGCTACAGACCACCAAACTTCATGTGGCCTTCATATTGGCACAACAATAGTGCGTAGAGAGCTTCATGGTATGGGTTTCCATGGCCGAGCAGCTGCATCCAAGCCTTACATCACCAAGTGCAATGCAAAGCGTTGGATGCAGTGGTGTAAAGCACGCCACCACTGGACTATAGAGAAGTGGAGACGTGTTCTCTGGAGTGATGAATCAGGCTTCTCTGTCTGGCAATCCGATGGACGATTGGTGGTTGCCAGGAGAATGGTACTTGCCTGACTGCATTGTGCCAAGTGTAAAGTTTGGTGGAGGGGGGATTATGGTGTGGGGTTGTTTTTCGGGGGTTGGGCTTGGCCCCTTAGTTCCAGTGAAGGGAACTCTTAAGGCATCAGCATACCAAGACATTTTGGACAATTTCATGCTTGAAACTTGAAAAAAGGCAACACCTACCTACCTTTTCCCTTTACAGAATATACTTTAATGGTATACAGGTATGTCCTCATGAACCCTTTAAAAAGTCCCTGTCACCTTGCCTTTCCAGGAAAAGGGGCATTGGTCTATTTAAACTCACCCTCTTCTCGAGACCCAGTTATATTAATTTTCACAGTGCTTAGCCCAACTGGACAATTTATTAGGCCTGAACACAGAGGTCATGATTGCTCCCTGTAAGCGCCACTCAGTATTTGCAATGGCTGGAACAAAGGAAGCATCTGCAGGGGGGAGCGCTGTGAAGCAGCTGAGGGTAGGCTTTAAAGAGACCCTATCCCTTTGGCCAGAATTAGCAAGGTGACAGGGTCTCTTTAATGACTGTGGAGAATTGATCTATGTCCCAATTGGCAGGGCAATCTCACACAAGAGTGTAAATACCCACTATTTTTTAGCAGTTCCAAATGGGGGTGCATTCACCAATGGGCTGTTTCAGTGTAAATTTGAAGTTGGCGAACCATGAAGGTATCCTTATTCTCACTTCCTCCAAACTCTGTGATTATGAGGACTGCCCGCTCAAGACACACATATCTATATACATTATATTGTCAAAAGTATTGGGACACCCTCCAAATCATTGGATTCAGGTGTTCCATGAAATGTCCTTGATACTAAATATTTCACGGTCACCTGTTAGTGGTATTATAACAAAGTGGAAGCAACTGGGAACAACAGCAACTCAGCCATGGAGTGGTAGGCCACATAAAATGACAGAGTGGGGTAAGCGCATGCTGAAGCACACAGTGGGCAGAAGTCGCCAACTGTCTGCAGAGTCAATAGCTACAGACCACCAAACTTCATGTGGCCTTCATATTGGCACAACAATAGGGCGTAGAGAGCTTCATGGTATGGGTTTCCATGGCCGAGCAGCTGCATCCAAGCCTTACATCACCAAGTGCAATGCAAAGCGTTGGATGCAGTGGTGTAAAGCACGCCACCACTGGACTATAGAGAAGTGGAGACGTGTTCTCTGGAGTGATGAATCAGGCTTCTCTGTCTGGCAATCCGATGGACGATTGGTGGTTGCCAGGAGAATGGTACTTGCCTGACTGCATTGTGCCAAGTGTAAAGTTTGGTGGAGGGGGGATTATGGTGTGGGGTTGTTTTTCAGGGGTTGGGCTTGGCCCCTTAGTTCCAGTGAAGGGAACTCTTAAGGCATCAGCATACCAAGACATTTTGGACAATTTCATGCTCCCAACAGTTTGGGGATGGTCCCTTCCTGTTCCAACAGGACTGCGCAACAGTGCACAAAGCAAGGTCCATAAAGACATGGATGACCAAGTTTGGGGTAGAGGAACTTGACTGGCCTGCACAGAGTCCTGACCTCAACCCGATTGAACACCTTTGGGATAAATTAGAGCGGAGACTGCGAGCCAGACCTTCTCGTCCAACATCAGTACCTGACCTCACAAATGCGCTTCTGGAAGAATGGTGAAACATTCCCATAGATACACTCCTAAACCTTGTGGCAGCCTTCCCAGAAGACTTGAAGCTGTTATAGCGGCAAAGGGTGGGCCAACCCAATGTTGAACCCTATGGACTAAGACTGGGATGCCATTAAATTTCATGTGTGTGTAAAGGCAGGCGTCCCAATACTTTTGGTAATATCGTGTATATGTTTCAAGTGTACCGGTAGAGGTTAGGCCTTTATTATTGGTTAACCATGTTGTTACTGCACATTATAAGAAGTCGTCATGAAAAAAATCATTTTGTGTCCTCATATCAAAGAAGCAACAACTTCTGCCTGGTCAAACAAAAGATGCAACTGCTTAACTGCCCATGCTTTTCCCTTAGTGGAAGTGACCTAAAATTAATCTATCGATTCCGCTTTAGCAGTGGAAAAGGCAAGATCAACAGTTCAAAAATTGTCTTTGATGATTTCTGTTTTGTTTTATCGTTTATTCATTCAAGAGAATCTTTGACATATGACCTCCTCAGGGTTGGAATCATGGAGCTTGTTTGAGTTATTCTTTGCTTCTGTGGAAGATAAATGTACAGCTGGATACTAACCTAATGTTTCTTTTTTCCCCACAGGTAATGCCTTTGTAGTAAGTCTGGCCTTCGCGGACCTTGTGGTGGCTTTGTATCCCTACCCATTAGTGCTAATGGCTATTTTTAAAAATGGATGGGCACTTGGAGAAATGCATTGCAAAGTCAGTGGATTCGTCATGGGCTTGAGTGTTATTGGTTCCATTTTCAACATCACAGGGATTGCGATCAACCGCTACTGCTACATATGCCACAGTTTTGTCTACGACAAACTCTTCACTGCATGGAATACAATGCTTTATGTGTGCCTCATTTGGGCTCTCACTGTTCTGGCCACTGTTCCTAACTTTTTTGTTGGCTCATTGGAGTATGATCCTCGCATCTACTCTTGCACATTTGTTCAGACTGCAAGTTCCTCTTACACCATCACTGTGGTGGTTATCCATTTCATTGTGCCAATCTCTGTGGTGACCTTTTGCTATCTTCGCATCTGGATTTTGGTGATCCAAGTAAGGCGGAAGGTCAAGTCAGAAACAAAGCCAAGGATGAAACAGACCGACTTCAGGAACTTTCTTACAATGTTTGTGGTGTTTGTTATTTTTGCTTTTTGCTGGGCTCCCCTGAACTTCATTGGCTTAGCTGTAGCCATCAACCCTACAGACGTGGCCCCTAAGATTCCAGAGTGGTTGTTTGTTATGAGCTACTTTATGGCTTATTTCAACAGTTGCCTTAATGCTGTTATATACGGACTGCTTAATCAAAACTTTCGTAAAGAATACAAAAGGATTTTAATGTCACTGTGGATGCCAAGACTGTTTTTTCAGGAAATCTCAAGAGGGGGAACAGAATGCCCAAAGAGCAAACCTTCTCCCGCTCTGAACAATAATGAGCAGGTGAAAACAGATACTGTGTAACTCAACTGTGAAAGGGAGAGTGGTTGAGAGCCATTGAACATGCACACCAGTTTATTTTCATTTGCATTGCCTCAAATTCATATTTTTGTATCTGAAATTAAAATCAACCTCAGAATAATATTTTTATATATCACATTAATTTATAAAAAACTGAACTTGTTTATTTATTTTATTAATAAAGAAATTCAGATATTTATTGTTTTATAGGGTTAGGGTTATCTTGGTGTTTTTGCTCAGTCCCTTGTTTTATCATGTTCCAATGCATGGAGGTGTAGCATTAATCAGAAAATAGACAGGCTGTGGGCATTCCTGGGTAGGGGTAAGGTGCGCCTGTCTAAAGGTTGTTGGGTTGCAGGAAATGCATTTTATCTCTGGGTTAGATTTAGGAAATTTTCCAGTACACAAAAACTCTTCAGCTGCAAGCATTCATAAGAGACCATAAGTTTAAAAAAAACATGCAATGAATGAACCATACAATTAAAACAAATACTTTCCATTGAAAAACATGTATTTTTATTTTATTTTTACTACATGAATGAACACTTTATCCTTAAAATATTTCTTCTTTAAAGATGGAGATCTCATATCTATGTGGTGCTTATTATAAAAATAATTTTGGGCTTAACAGTTAAATATTGTTTTGTAGTTCCAAAAAAAAAAAAACATGAATGTATCATAGTTTATTTTAACTATTATTTGTATGCCTTAGTTATGAATGAATCAAAAATCAAATGATTTACCATTAAATGATGGAATGTTCTTGATATTTTGCTCTAGTTTGTATTTTATGTTGATGTTTGCTAAAAGGGGTAGCTGTCCAAAGACATGCATTTCCACTGGTCACACAGGGACTAAACAAACTTTTTCATAAATCTGATTCCCAGTGGGACCTAAAAAAATATTAAATTAGCACTACCTCCCCAGCATCGAAAAGCACCAGTTGCTAGAGGTTTGCTAGAGGGTCCTATAATCCCCCGGTAATTTTTTTGCAAGAGACCCACCTGTTGGGTAATAAAACTTTAGCCCTGCAGGGGAGATGGGTATATAGAGCCTTTCATGCCACCTGCTCCTCTTATGCTAGGGGGGTGGTCGTTCTCTCCCCTAGACTAAACAAACATTCAAAACTTGGTATCTGGATGGGAACAATAATTATTGTTGGCTGACTGGAGTTTTAAGCTTCAAATACAATTAAAATAACATTTCTTAAAACATAGATTACTGCTACAGAAGCAATTTTGTCATTTGAATTATTAAAAGTAACCTTTACTTTTCCATCCCCAGACAGATAGAAATTTGTAAAACTGAGAAAAATGAAAATGTAATTTTGCAACCGTGGGACAAAGGGGAAATTCTGTACACCGTAGTATTGGACATCTCTAAAAATGTAATTTCCAATTAGTGTGGTTGGCTTGCTGCTTTCCCATAAGTCTACAAAGGTCTACAAGTTTCATTTTTGAGATACTTTTAAGGCTTCTGCGTGTGTAATGGGATACAGATTTTCTTATTACTACACTGAGACTGCTCATGTGTCGGTAACAAAGTCAGATCCTCCCACTTCAGTAAGTTTAGTAAAAGTGCTGACAAGGCTTACGCCAGTATCTTTAGAAAAGAAGCAGGTCTACTTACACTGCATAGAATTCACCTGTATTCTGTTTTCCTCTACAAAACCTGGGTTTCATCTTGAATAAGAACCTCAACTAATAGGAATCACAAGGTTCTTCAATTTACTAAATATAAGCAAGCAACGCTTCTACCTAATTCCTTTACAGAGGAAGTGAAGCAGCCCTGACATTCCAGACAATGTTTTCTTTCTGTGCCCTTCCCTGCCCCTCCACCAATGGCAAATCATGCTGATTGAAACCACAGGTTTCAAAAGGAAAAATAGAGAACATTTATTCTGTATCTTGGGAGCTCAGCTATTGTTTTCTGTTTCAGGCCAGCTCTTGACAACCTGGGACGCTCTTGCTGTTGTCCCGCCAAGCTCCTAGCAGCCATTGATGTCACTGGTTGCCAGGAGCTTGGAGGATACTCTTGGCATTGTCTTGCTGAGCTCCTGGCAACCAGTGACTTAACTGGTTACCAGGTGCTCAGCTGGACACCAGCCACAGCGTCCTCCAAGCTCCTGGCAACCAGTGATATCAATGAGATTGTTTCTTCTGTATCTTGGGAGCTCAGCTATTGTTTTCTGTTTCAGGCCAGCTCTTGGCAACCTGGGATGCTCTTGCTGTTGTCCCACCAAGCTCCTGATAACCAGTGATATCAATGGTTTTATTACCAAGAGCGCCCCAGGTTGCCAAGAGCTGGGCAGAGTGATGTGTATGGCCCTTATACATCTCCCTGCCTGGCTCTTAGCAACCTGGGATACTCCAAACGTTTTTGTCAACAGGGGACCTGAGCAGTGCCTGGAAAACGTGAAAAGGAGCCAAGAGCTCCATCTGCTGGCTGCCTATAAAAATATAGACTGTTTATATGCAATATTTTCACACATTTATTTACTACTTTTTTACACACATTTATTTATTTTTATCGCCTTTAATACCTCACAAAAATGTAATTTCATATTTTATTAGGTTAAGATTTCCTTCACCCATGTTATACTCACTGCATTGTGATGTCCTTTAAAATGTATGTACATCCCCAACAATGAACTATGACGAAGTGTGTTACTGGCTGGATCACAAGGTGAAAATGCCTAATAAAGGGTAAGCTAATGCAGCCTCCACAACTGAGGACTGGTAAGCTGCAGTATATTACATTTTTCTTCTTCAGTTTAAATATACTATTAATTTACTTTTCAGATCTTCAAATGAGGTCAACAGTGAAATACTTGCCACATAAAAATATCTATAGAAATCAGAAAGAAAATGGTGGTTGCTTAAAATTGTGCATGCACCCACACCACCACTTTACATTTTTGGGGACATTAGTTGTAAATGTGGCTTTTGAGTTATTTCTGCTCGCTCTATGGGGAACAGTAAGAATGATTGCATCTCCTTCCCTGAGATAGATTATTCGAGTGGAATGGCTGTCCTATCTCTGAAACCCCTAAGCTCTACCTCTATAAAAGCTGTGCCTTCATGATAAATGGATAATAGTGATGGGTGCAGAGATTTAGGTGAAATTGATTTTGCTTTAAAATTCCTGATTACAGCAGCAAAAATTAGCTGAAGAGGAAACTCACAATTTTGCTCATTGAGCTGCTTAGGCAAATTTTGCTTAACTACTGGAAGTCTGCGTTGTTAAACCCCCTTCCTGTCCTGGCCATTTTTCAGTATTCCACGCTGCGGTACTTTGACTGACATTTATTCCGTCGTGCAACGCTGTACTGAAATTAATTTATACAATTTTTTGGGGGCAGATGGAGCTTTCTTGTGGTGGTATTTAATCACCACTGGGGTTTTACATTTTTTTATATATTAAGGAAAAATTACCAAAAAATTTTTTGTAAAAACTGTTTCCCCTAAATTAAATGATAAAACATTTATTATTACCGAATTTTTTGGTAAAATATAAAAGACGGGGTCACGTCGGGTAAATAGACACCAAACATGTCAAACCTTAAAATTGCGTGTGCGTGCGAAACCTCAAAAAACTACAATACCCAAAATTGGCCATAGGCGACGCTTTAAAAGCTTTTACCGCTCATCAGTTTAGTGTTATCAGTGATTGATGGCCCTAAAATGATTGCTCTCACTCCGACGTTCGCGGCGATATGTAACATGTGTAGCGCAATTGTCATTTTCGCACGCTGGCGCATCGAGCGCGTATTTACGCTTATATGTGCGTAAACGTGGGGGTGGAGGACTTAAAAATGTTGGGGTATATATGTGACTTTTATTTTTTTTTACTTTTTTTACACTTATTGCTATCATATAGGGGGATAACAATCCCCCTATATAATAGCAAAGGCACACTGACAGGTCCTCTTTATGGAGACATTAGGGGTCTCTAAGACCTCCCCTTCCCACACTGAGCCACCATTATCTGGCTTCTCCCCACTTTTTCTATGTTGCGCAGCCTGTTCAGTCCGGGTACTGACGAGATGCCCCGCACTGTACTGAGTGCTGCGCATTCCTTGTCACAGCCACTGCTTGAGTCAGTGAGAGCCAGCCCCGAGCCTTCGTACCGCTTCAATGACGGCCCAGCCTGCACCGCATCAGAGGGGACCACCAAAGTTTTCTCGCGGACCACCAGTGGTCCATGGACCACCGGTTGGCAACCGCTGCTTTATAGCACATTGCACCCTTAAAATTAAGGTATTTTTAGTAATTTTTATCTTCCATAATGACGCCAATGCATTTTGCCAATTTTCAGGGAAATAAAAACTCTCAATTTTACATTATGCAAAATTGCGCCATGGAAGATAGATTTGAGAGTTACAGCTGCTACTTAAGGAGACAGTAATTGAGTGTGTCTCTTCTAGTTTAAGTGAAATTATAAAAAATTAATTGGTTCAATGCTTCAGCGCAAGGCAACCAAAACTGATGACAGGTCATGGTCCCATCTAGGACATTGGAATATGGGGAATTTTAAAGCAAAACTATACCTATGTGTGCTAGGTGGGATGTTGTCATAATATGCAACTATGCACATTTACCTTACATTGTGTCCTCCTCCTGTGCTGTCCAATCCAAGCTGTCAGACACCGCTTAATCCCCCAATGCTATTATCTCCTCCTTCATCTGAAGCGGAGTCCTGTTCGTCCATTGCATGGTCACCAACAGTGTACACTGCACATCAAATGCATTTTATAGTGGGAAAATAAAAAATTGCTAGGGTAAAGAGGAAGATTATGGCAGGAGAGCTTTTGGATGTTTTTTTCCTAAAAATCCCTCCCATATTTCTTTTCAGAGTTTAGCTCCATTTATGACATTTATGGGTTCAGGGCCACATTATTAAATGCTGAATCTATGGATGGCGCTTAATACTGTGGAAGAGTAAAGATTTCGTAGAAATGTATCTGTGGGTTATACATTTCTTAAAAATATATATAGGAATAATTAATAATTATAATATAAACATAATAATAATTGTTATTATTATTAATACATTGTAAGGACTAAAATAACATTTTAGATTTATTTGGTTTTTTTCAAGTCATGTTTTTATGCGTTATAGAATAACAATAGGTTGTATTAATATTTATAGCCATTCAGTGAAGCACCATGACATGTCAAACACAATAATCATACCTGCTTTGCTTAAGGGAAGCCGGTTGTTTAGTAAGCACAATAGTCCAAGCTCAAATTTACATTCACATCTAATAAGTTAGAGAAGTGACTCATCCCTATTGTTTCCTGGCCACTCTGGTCATAGGAGTCGTACGTGGCTTTTTGTGGAATCTCATCAGCCGTGTTGCTGATTAGTGATGGGCCGAACAGGCCCAAGTTCGGTTCGAATTCGAACGTTACAACATCAAAAAAGTTTGAATTCGAACCCGAACTCAATGCAAGTCAATGGGGGGTAGAACTTTCAAAAACAATTGTCCCCTTTAAGAGATCTTATATGCAAGTTATTGGCCCTAAAAGGTGTATGGGGATCCGGGTACTGCCCTGGGGCACGTGAATCAATGAATAAAACACTTTTAATAGGAGCAGTGGTTTTATCACTTAAAGGGTAAAAATAAAAAAATCCTTTAAATATCATGCCTGGGGGGGGGGGCCTTAAACTGCCTGTAAAGTGGCAAATCTGTACAATGTATAGAACCTGCTGCAGCAAAACTGACATTTCTAAAGAGAAAAAAATGAAATGTT